GACCATATAGGTTTAAGTAGGTAAATGTAAGTGTTCAGTTTTTGTTTTAGGTTTAATTTTGAGCGCGATGAGAGAAGTGAGTATTTTAATCCTAGTCTGAGGTTTAACATTTTTATTTTTTTGTTAATATGTAGGTTCTATGTCATTCTTCTGTCGAATATCAGTCCAAGATATTGTATTTTGTCTATTTGAGGAATTTCAGCATTATCAAGATAAATAGGAGGGCATTGTTCATGCCGAATAGTGAAAGCGATTTGTCTTGGTTGAGTCGAATTTTCCAAAGTATGCACCAATCGTTTAGTTTTGTTAGATGATGTAAAGTCTGTGAGGCGTGAGTAGGATTTTTATGTCTTGTTGGAATTGCTATTTCGTGTACGTAAGTCACTATAATAGTCCTTATGCGTTTAGGGATATCGTGTGTGTATATCATTCATAAGAACGGAAATATAAATATTATTTATTTTATTCAATATTTCATCATCATTTTCGTTATTAACATTCCTTATTTTAGTATAAAATAATGATAATAATAAAAGGCTTAGTGAACCCGAAGGTTCGATGCCGACACCACCAATCGCTTATTACACACCTCCCTCCACCGTTCGCCGTCCAAACCCAGTCCCTTCAGATCGGCTTTAATGCAATCTTTCCACCTTCGCTTCAATCTACCCCTCGGACGCTTACCATTCGGTACAGCAAATATTAACCTTTTAGGAATTCTCTCGTTACTAAGCCCAGCAACTTTACAAGTCCATTTGATTCGCCGCGATGAAATTACCTCAATTATATTGCCCGGATACAGCTCACGCAATTCGGCGTTGTGTAACCGTCTGAACTCTCCGGTTAACTCATCCTTCTTCGGTCCGAATATTCTACGCAATACTTTATTTTCAAAAACTTTAAGACGCTGCTCATCCCTTAATGTAAGCGGCCAAGTTTAGCATCCATAAAGAACTGTAGGCAAGATAATTGTTTTATAGATTCTAATTTTTAAGTTCCGGGACGAGAGGTGAGAGCTAAGTAGTTTTGTCAGAGAAAAATAACAAGCATTTCCCGCCTTCAGTCTAACCTTAATCTCTTCTTCAATTTCGTTTTTTCTAGTTATCGTAGAACCTAGATACCTAAATTTATCTACCTGTTCAAACATATTACCATCCATATCGATATCACCAGTAGTATCGCCATTTTTGCAGCTAATCATATATTTTAGTATAAAAGAAATGTAAAATTGATTTATTTCTCCTCCTTTATTATTTGTTATTATGGAAAAAATTAATGCTTAGTCCAGGTTTTGTTTTATTCAGTATTACAGTCCATTATTTTTATTATATATATATATATATATATATATTTTAAATCTATTAATTAAGCTTCATTGTAAGTTTTGATGTAAAACTTTGAGGGAGCTCAGTTCACGTGTAAGGTAAAAATCAAATCATTATTATTTCCTGTAATCACTGTTATATTTATTTTTTAACAATGTTTAGCCCTTTCTTTCCCCCCTCCCTTCAAAAATTAAATCTTGAATCCGTTAATGCATGCAGCTTTTCCGTTCAGAATAATCTGAATAAAACAAAAATAATCCTAATCATCAAAACAACAGCTATAATTCACACTCTGCCAACACTTGAATTAAATAAAGCGTGAAACGTTCATTATCCGAAGTGGGCGGGCGCAAATTATTAATTTTATCGCTCTTAATAACGTTGTAAATAACATCTCATTAGGATTATGTACTTATCCAGCTGCATTGAGCGTTGTTTAAGTACTTCATTAATAAACGCACATTCTGAAAGTTAATTAAGTGTAATAATTATTAATTATTATGATAAATTAGAGACACAGGTGAGTGAGGAAGCTTTCAGACTAAAGCTTCCCAAAATAGAAAATATACTTTTTTCTATAGTCTATATTCTTTATTTTTTTAGCCCAGTAAATTTCATCTTCTGTCCCAGCTTTTTTTCTAATGTCCTGTAGTCCGGGACAAGTCAGTAGATGCAGAGCAGTCATGAATCCTTGTTGACACAGTGGACATGTTGCTGATTCGATAAGTCCAATACGATATAGATGGATATGGAGATAGTCATGTCCGGTTTTCATCCTGAACTGTGTAACGGCCTCACTTTTAGGGAGATCCACTGGTACTCTTCTATTTTCTTCTCCTTTAACTCCAACTGCCGTTTCTGTTCCAATTCTTCAATGATTACTGTTTTGGTTAGCTTCTTTGCCGTCAAGAAAGAGATTGACATATCTGGCTGATCTTTTCCGTAACCTTCTTTTGTTAACCCGTCAGTATATTCATTACCTGTCAAACCACAGTGTCCTGGTATCCACTGTACAACGAAATCTGTGCCATCTAAAATCAGCTCCTCGATCAATTCGTGGCACGTACTAATATGATTTTTGGAATAGCAGAAAGGATGTGAAATGCCAATTATTACAGCTTGCGAGTCAATTAGGTCCAAAACTTGTTGCGGTTTAAACTTTTTTATCAGTCCTAACGCTAGAAAAACGGCTTTTACTTCAGTGTCAAAGTTACTTCCTAGGATTTCCACAGGCTCTGACATTTGGAAACGTTCTGCGTTTCTGTAAGTGATCTGAGCTAAGTACTAAATATATCTTATATATCCAGTCCGTCCAATCTTGGCAAGAGTTCCCAAGGTTCAATACTAGCCCCTCTACTTTACGTTATATACACTTACGATATACCTATTAACGATGAGCTCTTTACAGCTACTTATGCTTACGATACAATAATTCTCACAAAAAATCAAGACACTACACAGGCCTCACTAACTCTACATCACTTATTTAAATTAAAAGATTGGTCCACACTATGGAAAATTCGACTTAATCATGACAAACCAAACATATAATATTTACTCTCTGAAAAAACACCTGCCCTCCAGTTTATATTGGCAACAATCAAATTCCTCAAACGGACACGGTACTTTACCTTGGACTCACCTTCGACAGAAGGATGACATGGGGTTCGCATGTTAAAATGAAACGTAAGACACTTAACAAACGACTCAAACTACTTTACTCTCTTTTTGCTAAATATTCAAAACTAAAACTGAGACAGAAACTGATTACATAAACATAGTTTCTTAAACCCATATGGACATAGTCATCACAAATATTTGGTATCACTTGGTTTTATCTGTGAGATATTTTATTCTAAATGTTCTAAACATTCGTTATTATTTTTTTTGGGGAGGGGAGAGGCCATCTTTTTCTTATTTATTAAGGCTAATTAAAAAAACATCTATATTGACTTTCGCAAATTGGTTTCTGAATTTTTTATGGTATATAAATTTTAAGATATTTTAGTCCAATGTTCAAAACAGTCGTTTTTATATCTTATTTTTTGGTGCTATCTTTTTATCTTTCCGACTCTCTTACTCGGAATCACGTCAAAATACAATTTTAATTTTTACCTTATTACAAAGAGGATAGAATGCTGAACATTTGCCACGCTTATGATATGCAGGTATGATTTTTAGTTTTTGAGATATATTATTCCAAATGCAAAAGCACTTCAATTATTCGACTTCGGCCGACATTATCCGAATAATCGTACATATCAGTGTGTGAAATTGGTTAGTTCGAAGACTTTTCCAGACCACTGTATATATATATATTTTTTTTTTTTTCAAAATCTTATTGAGAAAAATGACATTTTTCCTCAATCAAGGGCATTGAGTATTTGAGATATAGGAAACTCATTCATACAATATATACAATTGCAAAAATAATAGAAATCATAACAAAAATAAGAAAAAGAAGCCTTAGTAAAACAGATGAAATAAAATATGATATAACACAAAAAAATAAAATAAAAATAAATAAAACATTCATGCTTATTTACAATATTTACAGAAGATAAGGCAAGACTCTAAGAGATCCCAGCGCTTCTCTCTCAGCCGCATCACTGAGACGGAGATCCAGTGGAGACTGAGAAAGGGCACTAAAGCCACAGACGATCATGACTTGAGTGGAGAAGCTGGCCATTGCCTGGACTCCAATGACGTATTTACAAAAGATCTCGTGGCCACTGCCTTTTTAACCTTCGAGGAGAATTGTAGGGATGGCTGGAGCTGGATAAGGATTGTGCTAAGGAATTAGGATGATGGATTAGGTTTTAGTGAACATTTGAGAAACGGGATGAAACAACGTCAAGGACATAAGGGATCTTAAGATCATGATGTAGAGTTTTGTTTGTAACATAATGAGTACTATGACAAGGACTTGGACTGGAGGATTGGATGCGTTTGATGTTCGAAAATTCAGTTGTTCCCCACATTTCAAGTCCGTAGGTCCAGGGTTTCAGTATGGTCTTGTATATTAATATTGGTTTGTTTTCAATGGAGAGGTTTCATTTTCTGTTAAGTAGTCTGTATAGCTGGCCAAATCGTCGGTTACGTTCTTGTCTTTTAAGTCTGGTATATGGGTTCCATGTTAGTCTTTTGTCTAAAAGGAATCCAAGATACCAAACTGTGTCTGAGATGGGAAGAGGTACTGAGTTGAAAAGGATAGGTAGACAGGATCTGCTTCAGAGAGTAAAACACTGTATATTAAGGGAGAGTTTTGCAGTGTATAAGTATAATTTAGAATATGAATTTTGAACTGACATACTATCTTTCAAGATTAGTTTAGTTAATTATTAGAAACAAATCTGACTTGGACTTGGGAAAGGCGGATAGGGAATAAAGATAAAGGGGCAGACGTACACCATCACGCACGACTATAAATTCATGCGGGTTAGTATCTAAAAAGGTTCAAGGGGTTCAATGCTAACTTAAAGTAGGTATGGCCATCTATAGTCGATAATATCGAAATTTTTTTTGCTATAATTGATATTTTACCATCGATGGCTTCTATGGTTACGGCTCAATCTCTTAGACTAGCCCAAATTGCAAAGCAATGTTATTCAATTTCAAAAACTTTAAATATAGTAAAATTCAGGATAGGAAAAACATATTTATTAAAAAAAATACCTGGCTCATTGGATAAGTTAGGAAAGTCTCCAAAGATCTCCCCTGACACGCTGGCTTGTTCTCGAGACGCGCTAAGAGGTTGGCGAACTGAGGGGATTGCTTGCACTCAGTCAACACCTGGAGGCTGTAGTGGTGGTTCCGGACGTACTCCTGGTAGATCGAGAGCATGGGCAGGAGCATGTCGAACAGGTCTCCTAGGTAAGAAATTTACTAGACAAATATCTCTCCATATCAATTAAAAATAAAGAGACTTATTTATACTCACTAACATGCATTCAATAATACATATAACAATGATATGTTTTATTTTAAAGAAGATGAAATAATATTTTGACTGTTCAACAAGGCGACTGGACCAAGATCAGATTGATCACACTCTAAATAAAATTCTGATCGAGTGTATCTAAAAGTTGATGGATGCAACCTATTATGGTTTATCTCATGGGCTTAGTTTGGAAAGGACCTTTTTGTTTTGAGAAATGGAGCTTCACAGTTATATTTTATTTTATGAATATTTTTTTACTCAGACTAACAACTTTGTACGATTCTTTGAAGCTGTGAACTTGATATTGCATCTGTCAATGACTTAATTGTACCTGTTAACGCCGCATACGCTCAGATCTTATAAATAAAATAAAAGGTTTATTTATTTTTTTTGGTAAAAAACGGAGAGACAATTGTCTCAGAAATGTATTTAACTTTATAATATTTATATATTTGGGTATTTTTCGCGATGTTTATCGCTTATTTATATGGACCATCCCGGCAGTAATACCCAGTCTTAGGGATTAAGACACCAAAATATTGCGATGGTACTGCCGGAATGCCAGTTTGGAACTAGCCTTTGTTGACATTAGATCCATGTAGTGGAAGTCTACCCCCAATTTCAGTGAACTTCATAACACTCTTTATTTTGTTTTTCAACTTCGTATAAATTTATATATTTTTTTTTATTCAATAAATTGTAAATATTTAGAAGGGATTTTTTTTATTTACTTATCTTAATATCTTTAGTTAATTGAGTAATTTTATTTGATATTGTTTGTGCATGCATTTCTCATGTTTTACAGGTCTCATATCCACTCCTTTTATTTTTCCTTCTTTCCCAACATTTAATTTTGCTCGAATTGTCTCACCTTTGAGGAAACTCACCGAGGAAAGGTTTGTATTTTTATTTTTAAATACCCCTGGCCCCAACAATACCCGAAGATTCGATGCCGACACCACCAATCAGTTTACACTTCTCCCTTCACCGGCCTCCGTATAAACCCAACCGCGCTTGATTAGACTTAAGCCGTTATCAGGGTTACGCAATATTCCCACCTTCGTCTCGGTCAATCTCTTGGACGTTTATCAGTCGGGACAGCAAATATTAACGTTTTAGGGATTCTCTCGTTACAAAGCCCAAAAACTTTACATGGCCATTTAATTTGCCACAATGTAATCACCTTAATTATATTAACCGGATTAAGTTCACGAATTTCGGCGTTGTGTAACCGTCTGAACTCTTCGGTTAACTCATCCTTCTTCGGTCCGAATATTCTACGCATTACTTTATTTTCAAAAACTTTAAGACGCTGCTCATCCCTTAATGCAAGAGGCCACGTATCGCATCCATAAAGAACCATCCATTATAAATTTGAATATTGAAATTTCGTAGTTAGAACTTTTTCATTTCAGAATGCATTTTAGTTGAGACAAGTGAATGCAGAGAATGCATTCACCTACGTGAGACAAGGTTCTAAGTGCAGATGATCTCTAAAATTTGAGATTTTACGCTTCATGGAGAGTACTAAGAATCGAAACCGGAATTAAATATAATATAATTTTAACTTTTCATTAACTCAAAACTTTGGAATAAAACTTAGTTATGGCTTATGAATGGTGTAGTTAGTAGGTTTCTTCACTTGCTGGTTGGATCATCTCTTGTCCAGTCAATGGCCAGGTCCAAACTCTGCCAAGACGCCCATCTGTATAGGTCTCACTGTAGGTACCTGCCACTTCAGTCCTCAAAGCCGGGAAAATACATAAGCACTCGAGCTTTTTCATCCACGAGATTTTATACGAATATTCAGGGTGGGGCAAGGATGCTTTTGATTGGTTCTTAACTTCGACGGGTGTACAATTATTTTAACTGGTCACACCCTAAATGGAACCAGTTACTTAACCCGTTACTAGTTACCAGTTACTCTGAGTAACTGAGCCTTCCCCAGAACCCTCGGTCCTTAGGTATCTGATCTTCATTTTTTGAAGCTGTCTTTGATGTCAGCAGATATTTTTGGTGTCAGCATATTTCAACTTTGTTTTCAGCACCTCATAACTATTTTAAAATATTATTTGCTATGTTCAATACATAGCACTATTTTATTCAATCCTATATATTATTTATAAAAGGTGTTTTTTTGACAGTACGCCATAACTTCGTAAATTCTTCATCAAATCCAATGATTGAAGACTCATTTTGAAGATATTCCTCTCCTTCACATGCGAAAAATCCTATCCCCCTGAAATTTATGGAAAAAAAGTTACGAAGGAAAAGAAACTTTATTTGCGAATAAATCAAAAAGTATGCATTTTTTTCTGGATTGTACCCATGATAATTAGAAAGATTACTGAATTACCTACAAAACAAAAAAAAATCGAATAATTATTAACAAAGATAAAGTCCATTATGATGTAGAGATGGTTGACCGTTGATATAATATGAGAAGGAGTTAGTCGAGGGTGCGGTCAAATAAATAAAAAAAATAAAATATATAAATTATTTTAATTTATTTATTTATTTGACCGCACCCTCGACTAACTCCTTCTCATATAAAGTCCATTAGTTTTGGTATACTTAATAATGTTTTTCTGTTTAAAGATATTGCATTTAGGAATAGAATAGTCTACTAAATTTTTTCTCATAAAAAATAAAGTTTCGTAAATATTATCTAAATCTGATTAACGAAATAATCCTGTATATTATTTCTAAATTGTGTTTTTTTTGTCAATTCTTCATCAAATCTAATGATTGACCACTCATTTTGAAGATATTCTTCTCCTTCACATCCTATCCCCCTTAAATTTATGGAAAAAAAGTTACGAAGGAAAAGAAACTTTATTTGCGAATAAATCAAAAAGTATGCATTTATTTCTCGATTGTACCCATAATAATTAGAAACATTATTAAATTACCTACAAAACAAAAAAAAAATCGTAAAAATCGGACAATTATTAACAAAGATACAGTCCATTAGTTTTGGCGTACTTAATAATGTCTTTCTGTTTAAAGATATTGCATTTAGGAGTAAAATAGTCTACTAAACTTTTTTTCCTTGCTGATATATTAACTTTATTATTTCTTAAAGACATTTCTTTGTTGTTTGTCATTTTATTTTTTTTAATAATTTAGAAAATCCCATGATTGGGGCATTATTTTGTCTTCATTACATTTATTATCTTTCCAGCCAGCGTTTAAAAAATTTTTTTAGCAAAACAATTTGTACAATTATTTTTGTCTATTATGTTTAATGGAGTGTTATAATCGACCAAGGAAAAAATATTAATAAATAGGAACTACTTAATAAAAATTTTCTGTGAATTATTCGCACAGGCCAACTAGCAATATATACTTTATGTTGACTTTATTTTGGTCATTTCATATTCTACATCCCCCCCCCCCCTTCTGATGAATCTATTTTAGCATCCAGGTTTGATTTCCACTACTTCAGGATTAGGAAAGGCCTGATACGTAGGAAACACAACTCATCAAAATTATTGTTAATTCTAATCACATTCAAAATTCCATCAACAATGAGATCAATGTCGTCTAAGTCTAGCCACCATGTTGGATTTATGTTACAGCTCAAACAGCTTAACAAAAATTAACAAAATTTTTATTTTTTAAAATATAACTAGTAAAACAAATGAATAGAAAATTTATATGTATATTTTTAACAATTCGTTTAATTTCGTAAAATTTTGAATATACATGACACTTACCAAGCACTAACGTTGGCCATGATTCCATCCGAGACGTGAGTCCCTTCAAGAATATTTGATGAAGAAACAGGACTGTCTCGCTGTTTAGGAAAATGGAATTCACGTCTTCATGAGAGCAGGGTGGTTTCTTCGAGGATGCAGCCATTTTGAACGGTCTCAAGAAACAGCTGACCAAGACTTCCAGCTGTTCCATATATTCTTCTTCCGCTTCAACCATCCTGAACACAAGACTGATTCCCACACGTTTAAGTTAAAGTCCATGGCACAGACTCCTTTTAATCAAATTATTAACATACGCCTGAAACTTCGTAAATAGCTTCATCTCAGAATAACCTACAACTATTTTATTTACCAAAACTGTTGGAATTTGGACGTTTTAGATCTGGAGATCGGCAAACTTTTTCTAGTTAATTGGGTACTAAAAACTCGTAAAAACCCATTTCCTATCCACTTGAATCGTAAGATAATTCGATCACAAAATCGATAAAAAAATATTGGGCCGTTTGGTCTATATAACCTCGTTATTTTGACAATTTGTGTCAACCAGCTCAATACTTTTGAAGACCACATTTTTTCTCGACTTTGTGCTGAAATTATCTTACGATCCAAGTGGAAAACAAATTTACGACTTTTTACTTCTTGGTTAAATTGACAAAGTTTGCCGAACTCCAGTTTGAAAACGTACCAATTCCGAGAACTTTCGTAAATATTTGTAGATTATGATG